GATAAGACACCAGAAGTTATTGAAACAAAATAGCTATTTTTGTATTGATTTTATAAATTTTTATGTTATTTCTTCGAATAAATAATTATATTTGCTCTACTCTGTATTGAAAGAGAGAGGAGAATAGTATTTGTTGGTTATTGGAATTTATTCCGTATTACCAATCCTATACTTGTATATTTATGTATATATATTTATATATTTAGATTATATATATATATATATATATATATATATATATATAATATATATATATATGATTATTTATATTAAATTCTTTTAAATTCAATATTACGAACGTTGGAATTGAACTCCATTCGTTCAAATTTTACATATATATATACCGTATATATATATAAATATTTTTCTCATATTTAATGGTTATATAGTTTATTTGTTTCTGCCTATTTTGTTATTGTGGTATTATTTAATAAACAATAGGTTTGTTCATTTTTTTTGTTTGTTTATATATATATATATATATATATATATATATATATATATATATATATATATATATATATATATATTTCTGACTTATTTAATATGTTTAATATTTGTTCGTTTATTGGTTTCTTAATAAATTAATTTTATATTGTAAAAAAAATTTTTTCATTTATTTCAATTTTGTATTATATTTTTATTTCATTTATTTATTTATTTATTTTTATATTATATTTATTTTATTTAAAAGAAAACTATTTTTTTTAAAAACGCTTAGATGACAAAATAAATATTTATTTATATTTTGATTTCTTGGCCCATTATTTTAGTTTTCTTGTTTAGGTGTTTATTTTGGCCTTTAAACTAATTATTGCTAATTTTTCCTCTAAGCATAATTTTCAATTTTTACTGTTATTACTGTATGGGCCATGAACGTTTAATTTCCCATTTGATTTTGGTGGATATAGTTTTCTTTTTGGTTGCATATGTATTGAGATAGAGCTGTATTTTTTGTGTATTTTTTGTTTCTTTTAAATGATATTTTGTGATTATAACATCTTACTTTAAGCTTTTTTCTCTGGCCTCTGTATATTTTTTCCGTCTGTGTTAATGTTATTATTTGCTATAGCTATATATATTATATATATTATATATTTATATTATGTTATTGGTTAAACATTTATTGTTAAGTGGGCAATTGCCTTTATTTCTGCAGTTACATTTAATGGTGTTATTTTGCTTTATGCTATTGTTATTGCTGTTTTAATTCTTATTGCTTTTTTTTTGTTTGTGAGTGTCTTTTATTGTGCTTAGATATTATTTTCTCCATTTTATCCATGAAGTCACTTGATTGCATTTTTGTTGATAATTTTTGTTAATTTGCTCTTTTTACGGAAGTGTTTGTCAGTTATTTTTATTTTTATTGTGTTGTTGTAGGGGGCGGTGTGAGATAAATTATATTTCTTTTTCTGTTGTTTTTATTTGAATTGTTTTCGTTTTTGTATTCTAGTTTGTTTAAATATCCGCTATTTTTAGGGCTGATTCATATATTTGTTTTTTTTTTATTTTCATTGAATATCTTTAGGCTACTAGAATTTGTTGAATTTCTTTTATTCATAGATATCGGTATTTGTTTAAGGTGGGCGGTTAGAATTTTTGTTAATGTACATTGTAGGTACCTCAAATCATTCGCTAAAAATCAGTATAGTATAATGATATGTTCATTTAGAAATAAAATTGCAAGATGAAATAAATGTATTTTAGACCAAAATGTGTTTTTTAAGAATGTAATTTTAATATTGACGGTTATATAATATTGGAAAGTGCAAATATTTATATAACCGTTGGGACTAACGTGATGTCTAAAGAAGTTTGTCTTTAAAAACAATTATTACTGAGTAATAGTTCGATCCTCAGATGACACTCTTACTTTCGGCCTTATTTGTGCCAAAAAAACGCTTGGAAAATCAATGTTAATAATTAACACATTCTTAAAAATCTTTCGGTCTACAATTTATCTATTTCATCTTGAATTTTATTTCTAATGAAAAAAATTGGCAAAAACGATGGGAACATAAAGATTTTCGAAAATATACCTGCTGCTTTAAAATACACCAGATCCATTTTGATTTTATACTTTGTATCGCGTCATTCAAGGATTGTTATATAAGTTAATTCTTATATTAAAGTCTGTTAACCTTTTCATTTTTCGCAGTTAGTTGCATTAATATTGCTTATATATATATATATATATATATATATATATATATATATATATATATATATATATCTGTGTGTGTGTGTGTGTGTGTAAAAAATACAGGTTAGCTTTTAGACGCTCCTTTTCAGAACAAATCTCATTTGCATTCATCGGAATCATCCTCTTAGAAATACCTCTCAGGTAACTGGACAAAATTAACCTGTTCAGGTCAAAGGTCAATCGCTATCTATCCTCCTTATCCTCCTGATCTGTATTGCTTTCTCCAGTCGATTCCATTACATTCACTAATGTTAATACCCTTGGGAAAAGGTATGAATCATCCTCTTCTCTCTCTCACCTCCTCAGCTGTGAGTAAATAGCAAGACAGACCGGGCTCTATAACCTTGGATGGCATCTGGTCTACCGCAGAAAGAAATGGCAACCTGCTGCTGGAAAAAAAAAATCTGCCTCGTCAGTCATGTATCGAAAGATACATGATCGCCTAAGCGTGTATCGCTCATGGCACATAACTGACTTACTGACTGACTTCGTTGAAAAGTCTTAAATTAAATTAAATTTTATTGGATAGCGGCTCACCTTTTACGAATCAGACACTGGTTCAATTAACATTAAATCCATTACATTCACTTACGTGCTAATGCCCCCTTTGGAATAAATAAATCCTTTCTTCATCACCCCCCGCCCAAAGAAAAACTAGTAAATAGTTTATAAAAAGACAGACCGGTTTGATTTTTGACTCTTGAATGGCAACTGGTTTTCTTCATTATAAGAAAATACGCCTTGTTCTGCCTCGTCAACAGTATCTAAATACGCAGTCAAAAAAGCGTGTATCACGCATGGCCCATTTACTGAAAACATGAAAGTCTGAATTAAGATTGAATTTTGAAATCCTTTCTCCTGTTCAATTCTAATCTATTCATTACATTCACTTAAATGCTAATACCCTTGACTTTATATCAATAAATCTCTTCTTCTTCCTCTCCACCATCTTAAATAGTAAATAGCCATCATTTAATGGCTAAATAGACCCCAAATTACTAATTGGTTACTGCAGAAAAAAGGGCAACCAACTGCCTAGAAAAAAAAACCTTTCAGTTACGTATCGAAAACATGATCGCCCTAAGTTTGTATCAATGGCACATAACTGACTGATTGTATGAAATTCCAATTAATTAAAGAAATGAATTTGGGAAATCGTAGAACAAATGTTCAAATTCCAACTCATAATCCAAAATTCACCTACATTTAATATCCTTGGGAAAGGTATGTTTGAGGGTTTTCTACACAAATGGACGCACCAGGGTATACATCTAAACTGCTAGTGAATACCCGGAAGTTTCCATTTGAAAGAACGAGACCGAACGAAGGTATCGAGCAAGAGTCACAGTGAACAAACATATTTTTCCTATAAGAAAGACATACAGTGATACGTCTATACCAAAGACTGTATATATATATTTTGCTAATAATCCGCATTCCTGGAACTACTAACCTGCATTACCAGTTTGTATTATTACATTAAATTAATAATTTATTTTTCATATTCCTTCTTGGCGTTTGTTATTTATTGGTACCGGATTTCATCCCGGAATCCACAACAGTATGAATCCTCTTTTTCTCCCCCCACCATCTATGGGGAAATTAGCAGGGCAGACTGGGTTCTATAGCCTTGGAAAGTAACTGGTCTACCGCACAAAGAAATGGCAATCTACTGCGGGAGAAATCTTCTTCATCAGTCATGTATCGAAGATACATGATCGCCCTAAGAATTCGTATCACGCAAGTTAAATCTGACTATGAAATTCACTTACGTGTTAATACCCTTGGGAAAGGTATGAATCCTCTTCTTCTCCCCTCAGCTATGGGTAAATAGCAGGACAGACCAGGTTCTATAGTGTTTGATGGCAACTGGTCTACTGCAGAAAGAATCTCGAATTCAACCTAAACAGAAAATTTCTTGAATCCCTCGTCAGTCATGTCTCAAAGAAACATGCTCGCCCCTATTATTGTATCCGCATGGTTTCACATCACTGACCATGACCCATCTACATTTTATCTAACTAGAAATTAACCTTAGTCCTCTAGATGTTACAATCATTGTCAACCTCCACTCCATACAGTCTGTTCTTTTATTGCACGAGGGTAAACTGGAGGCATTTAGATTAAGCCGACAGTTATAATGACGGACGCACACAGTCGGGTGGGTGGGGTTATTGATTCGACCATGTTTTAATGTTACTTCGGTTTTGTATTAAAAAACAAAAAACAAAAATGAATTATGCACGTATTTAGTTGGTCCTTCTCCGAAATAAATCTGTCATCGTTGTCAAAATGGATTATTTATTATGCTCCCCGTCCGGCTATCCTGAGGCCGCAAGAACACACGGAGGTTTTTGATCAACCAATTAAGCAAGGTCAAGGTTCATCCCTGTTTAAAAAAAAAAAAAAAAAAAAAGAAAGAAAGTCTATCAGAAACAGTTGAATAGTGTAGAGAACGTTTTTCCATTTTAAACTGTTTGCTTTATTAAATCAATGGAATTTTCAAGGTTATGCTGAAAAGCACTACGAATAAGTGTAGTACGGAATTTTACTGCTATTCTTTGTGAGCAGTAATTAAGTCACTGACATTTTTACGGCTTATCTACCCTTTGTGAAATACTTCGCCCGTAAATTCTCTCTAAACTCTACTGTTGACCCCTTGGGAGTATTCTTGCCTAACTTCCCACTTAAAACTGAGAACTGATATATATATGTTTCACATAATAAAAAAAAAACACTTACGTCCACGTTCATGGGTCATATGTGGTGTACACGAGCCATAATTTATCTATCTCAGACTGTTTATATCTATCTATCTATCTATCTATCTATCTATCTATCTATCTATCTCAGTTTTGTCCATATCTATCTATCTATCTATCTATGTCTGTTCATATCCATCTACCTATTTTAATCTGTTCCTATCTATCTATCTATCTATCTATCTATCTATAGATAGATAAAAATCTAGATATTTCTATTTATTATGTATGCTCTATTTTAGCTAAACTTTGGATCTATCCATACATACATTCAGATAGATCTATTATAAAATGAACAGTCTGAAACAGATCTATAGATAGATCTGATAGAATTAGATGAATCTTGAGATAGATTATCTAGATAATTAAACATCTCTCTGAGATATATCTTTATAGATAGATAGATAATAGATAGATAAAACTCTGAAATAGAAAATAGATAATTCAACAGTGTTTTTATATATATATATATATATATATATGTATGTGTTTATTTAGAGTAAAAAGAGATTTTATGATCTAGATAGATACATATGTTAGTCTGAAATAGATAAATAGATCCTTCACAGTCTGAGGTTTATTAGATAGATAGATAGATAATAGATAATAGATAGATAACTGATTAGCAGCCGAGATAGATAAATCATGGCTTAAGATCATTTATTCACATATGGAAATTTTTAATAAGTGGTTTTTATTAAGTCTCACACACACAATCACACACACACACTTCTATATATTGAATATATATATATATATATATATCACATTTATTGCCAAATAATCAAAAATTGCCTTGGAATAAGTTATAAAACTGAAAACTTTGACGATAAACTACACTCGGCAACAAAGCCTATGATCTGGATATTGGAGGTTTTGTGGTGCGTGGAATCTCTTCTTAATTGCTAGTCCTGGGTATAACGATAAACTACATCCGGCAGCAAGGCCTTCGATAGAGATTGGAGGTTTTGAGTAGTGTGGAACCACCTCGTAATTGTTAGTCCTGGGTAAGACGATAAACTACAACCGGCAGCAAGGCCTTTGATAGAGGTATTGGAGGTTTTGACGAGTGTGGAGCCACCTTTTCACTGCTGTTTTTCCCAGGACCGCAGCAATCTGGGGTGGGAGCACCTGTTTTCGTCCCAGCTATGGGTAAATATTTAACCCTGAAAAAAATCAACAGTACCTCTTTTTTTTTATAACAAAACAAGCAATAATACATATTTATATGAAAATGACAATCAATGTAGCACTAAAAAAAATATAAAAATACATTTTTAGAGTTAAATTAGATAAGAATACATTTTATGCTCTACAAAATATATGTTTAAAAAAAATATAATTTTCCTCTTTTTTCTTATTAAACGTTTGTTCTCTTTCCGTAGTTGAAAGCTTTTGGTTTTAAAATCCTCGACATCAATCGACATTAAATTTTTTGTTTAGCTTGATATACCATTTTCAAAATCAATGAACCAACAATATATTTTTATAATTCTTTACCAACAAAACAATTTATATAAAATAACCAACGAAATATTTTTTTTTAGCTACTGACATGGGACTATTATAAGTATATATATATATATATATATATATATATATATATATATATATATATATATTTTTTTTTAAGCTTTCACCCAAGCAAGGCGGGAAGCCACTTTTACGCAAAAAATATTTACAGAAAGATTTGGATTTCTTCAGATAGGACTGATAGAGGAAAGGATGAGGAGAAGGATAGTGGATAGATCAAGGCAACTGGAGATGTCGATTGACATTACATTTGAATAGTTGGAGATTATAGCTCTCGGGGAAACTGGGATAGGAAGGGATTTCCACAGGCGAGAGGTGCGACACATTGAAGCTCTTTTGAGTTCTTTCTAGACGGCTACATTTAGGCGTTTCGACAGTGAAAGGGTTCCCTTTTCTTTGCCAGCCTCGTAGGGCGCTTTTTTTCATGAAGTCTGGGAACCAGCGAATGCAGCTCCTCAGAGCAATTGCCATGGAAAGTATTTTAAAACAGACAGAGAGAGGCGACGGCGCGTTCTGAGAAAGTGACTTTCTTCTTTTTGCCAGAGCAGGACCAAAAATTTTGCATATCCGTCTCTGGAGCCTATCAAAACCCTCTTCCTAACAAACAGAAATTTTCCAGACAGTATGCTTCAGCATTTAAGAAAGATATAAAAATTTTTTTTCAAAATATTTTTTTTTCCATTAAATAACCCAGATCTTTATTGATTGTTTTTTCTCTTCAAAAATTCCAACCAACAAAATCTATTTATAATAAAATTACCAACAATAAGTATTTATATTAAAATGACCAACATATTTTATTTGTAGTTGAAGGTATAAAATTATGTTCAAAATATTAAGATTTCGTCTTTAAATAACCCATAGAGATGTTGATAAATAAATTATATCAAACCAACCATCGAATACCTTTTTCTCACATTGCCGAATTTTTTTAATTCTTTCTCGCTCAAATTTCTTTTTCTTTCTTCTTTATTACCTTGGTTGTAAATGAAATAAATCGTAAAAAAAAACTTCCCGAAAAAAAGTAAATCGTAAAAAATAAATTGTCAAATAATTGGATTTTATTCACTAGTGATGGCGAACCAGACTGTATCGTTAACCTTTCCCACGCCAATTGTTCGCATCTCAATAAAATTTAGGTTTTACAAGATTTAAAATTATTTGGCATACAGTGAGATCACTTTCATTACTCATCTTTTCAATTGTTTAGCGTGATAAATTTATCTAATTCAAGAGATTTTGGAATCACGAAAGTTGTAGGTGTGAAAAAAAAAAGATTTTTTTTTTTTTTGTTTGAATAAATCATAATTGGATTTTTCTATTCCTTTGATGGTTATTATAGGAAGGGCTAACTCCGGGGGAAAATTTAAAGGCGGATTTCCGATTCAGATCTCTGATTTTAGAAGGTGCTTGGAAAAAAAAAATTCAAATTCAAATTCAGTTAGCTGAATTTTATCTTTTAAATCTTTTAATTTCAGAACGCCATCTTTTTCGTTTTTTGTAATCACGTATAATCATCCTTGAGATAAAATAAAGAAATAAAATTTTTTTTTTTTTTGAACAAATGAATACAATTTTAAGACGCCTACAAAAATGTTTGAAAGTAATTTTATCTTTAAACGGCTAACGTAGATATTGTTTTTTTTTGTCTTATATTTGTTTTTATTTGAATTAGCGTAATTTTAAAAGATTAAAAAAAACAATAAGAAAAAAAAATTGTTAGATATTAAAAAAAAAAAATTGTTTAACGAATCTTTCTTATCGAAAAATCTTTCCAAAGGAAATTTTGGTTTTATTTTATATAATTTTTACTAAAAAGTCTATCGAACAAAGAAATTCTTTAACTCAGATTTACAGTTGAACGAACTTTTTAAATCAGAATATTCCGATAAAAACAGAAATTAAATTAAAAACAAACAAAAAAACAAAACAAAAAAAAACGAAAAACGAATCTGTTAATTTGAAAGATATGTGATCTCTTGCCATATTTGGGTTCATTTATCAAATTCAGTTCCCAACTCCGACGCTTTCCAAAATTTCGCTTTTACGAATGCCTTTTCCCCGTTATCCGAAGTGGTTGTAGTTTCAAAATTATTTAAATTACCATTAATCTTCTATCTGAAAAAAAAGTTAAGCGTTTAATTTTCCCAAAATAATCTTTAACTTTATTCTACCTATATATATGAAACAGTTTTCGACATCTCTTTATGTATCTGGTATCAGTCAGGTTTGCCATTCATTTTACAGATGAAATTCTTTACGGCAAAAAAATGTTGGACGATTTCCTCAAAAGATGAAGAAGAAACTCAGGCGACGGACCTTTGGTTTAAACTGTTTTTTACAAACAACCAGGTGTGTGATATGTCTTAGGTTAAAAAACCATTAAACAAAAAATGATGTTATGGAAGATGTTTCATGACCATACAATCGGGTTAACATTCTGGTACATTTACAATCAAAAATACATTTCTCACATTTTGTTTTTTTGTAATGTCTAATCCTGGGTTAATTAAAACTTTTACTGGGATGGTTTGTTTATTGGCTTCTGCGGCGAAATACTTATGTATTCTGGTTTTGATTGAACATTTGTTTAGTTTGTTTATGGCATGTCAACCTCATTAACTTATTTAATTTGACAACAATTTTAGGATAAGTTCGGGTGAATAAATATGTATTCTTTGTTTGAAATCAATTTGTTTGGTTTATTTTGTTTTACCCCATTGTCAACCTCAATGGGTTATTTAATGCCGACAACATTTTAGGATAGGTTCGTATGAATAGAATATTGTATTCTTTGGAAATAGTCGTGGGTTGGTTTGGTTAATTTTGTTTTTATTGAAATATCAAAACTCAATGGGTTATTTAATGCCGGAAATTTTTTAGATCATTCACAATATTATTCTTTGGAAGAATTCATTTGAACTTTGGTTTATTTTGTTTTTAATCATTCGCCAGGTTTCAATTCGTTATTTAATGGGTTGTGAATAGAATATGTATTCTTTGTAAAAAACAAATTTTGTTTTCCGGGTTTGGTTTGTTTTGTTTTTGGCATATCAACCTCAATGGGTTATTTAATGCCGAAATAACATTTTTTAGGATAGACAAAATTTTTAACATATGTATTCTTTAAAAAATTCAATTTGAATCAGGTTTGGTTTATTTTTTTTTTCGGTTTCAACCTCAATTATTATTTAATTTGCCGACAAGGTTTTAGGATAGGTTCGTATGAATAGAATATGTACTCTTTTTAAGAAATCATTTTGTAGATCAGGTTTGGTTTATTTTGTTTACGGCATATCAACCTCAATGGGTTATTTAATGCCGACAAGGTTTTAGGATAGGTTCGTATGAATAGAATATGTATTCTTTAAAGAAATTCATTTGTAGATCAGGTTTGGTTTATTTTTTTTTTACGGCATATCAACCTCAATGGGTTATTTAATGCCGACAAGATTTTAGGATAGGTTCGTATGAATAGAATATGTATTTTTAAAAGAAATCATTTTGTAGATCAGGTTTGGTTTATTTTGTTTTACGGCATATCAACCTCAATGGGTTATTTAATGCCGACAAGGTTTTTAGGATAGGTTCGTATGAATAGAATATGTATTCTTTGAAAAATTCATTTGTAGATCAGGTTTGGTTTATTTTGTTTTACGG